CAGTGTGCTCATAGCTTAACTACACTGAAGGCAGTATTTTTGTGCCGTATTTTACGCCGTTCGCTTGCAATCAATACACCTACATATCAATACAAACACATACAACACATTTACTTGCTTCACCATCATATGGCTTTTCAAATCCTTATCATGTTTGAACGAAAACCTAACTTTAATTTAACAATACATATTCAACAAGTACTGCATGATTCCTCTTCTTCAATACATTCAAATAATTGCACAAGCTGTCATGGGATTTTTGGTTCACACTTTGTAATGTTTTCCCACTGAATACATCCATCTTCGACAATAGTCGACATCATTGGGCCATCTAGGACCCAGTGAGATAAAATGACATGTAACTATAAAAGTACTTTGTCAGTTTTAATGACTTCACTATTAGCGAGATTCATTTAAAGTCTTCGGCGTATAAAATCAATGTGCCTTATTCCACCTGGCTGATTTTCCGTAGAGACAATGTAAAATTAATGAGTAGAACCATGCGTCCCATGTGATGAATGAAGTAATAAATAAATAAATAAATAGATATCGCACTAATACATTGTACTACAATCCGTCAGCTATAACATTATTCCCAAATATCCGACTAACAAAAACCGGAGCAAACTTAATTAAAAATTTAGAAATAACGTCCACATTCGAATCTGAATATTAAAATTTCAATAATACGCAATACATCGATATGATATAAGAACAGATGATTTTCTAAACGTTCTGCTGACATGGGAGCAGTTATCAATTATCACATCACGACGACAAATATTGTACCATTATGTGACGTTTAACGCAACATATCACTGATGTCATGAAACGATAAACATCATAATACTCCGGTAGTATGTCACAATATTCCATGTTCATATCATAGCCGGAACTATGTTCAACTGTGACTTCAAAATCAAAACAAACAGCATACTCCGATCTCAGTATCAGTAAGAAATGGTTTTGACGTACAGGGACATTTGAGGTTATAATGTTATAAAATGTAACACTCATGCGCAATAAGAAAATAAATACGGCATATTGTCCATCATCAACATTGGTTGCGAAAAAGGCCAAATAATTATCAAGAACAAGTATTCTAGTTTCAGTAACAACATGCTTTCATATATGTATTCAAATGTTCGTCCAAGTTACTGATTTATTCCTAACATTTTTCCTGTTTTTTCGCTCGCAAACTACAGCATATAAAAAGTGTACATAATCTCATCATTACATCATGGTAGCCACTCTATTGAGAACGTGTTTGCGTCTACTAAACACCCGAGTGATTATCAAGAACAACGATATAAACTTGTGGCGATTATCAACCGAATTTGCGAATATTAACTACACCAAAGAAAACAAAATTTGTGTCCAGTGTTTACGTGGAAATAGCTTGTTAGCCACCGATCGACTGAAATGAGGACAACGGACATCCCTTTCCACTTTACGATAAACTACACACCATCGTCAATCGTAAATGGGAAAAAACACAGTGTGTCACAACCAGCAGCACTAAACTCCTTCAAGCCAAAGTACCACCTACACATCTGCAGCCGTTATCACAAACAAGGTCAGAGCGTGTGCATAATTACACCATTGTATCTTTGGAAAAACAGCGTGAGAATTGCACATCATGCAACGAGAATCACTCAGTAAGTTCACTTACAACCTTCAATAATTTGAAATCAAATGAAAATAGTTCAAACAACAAAATCATCAATCACAAAAACATCACAGTACCATGTGCGCCACCAATGATACGAAATAACATTTTCCTTACAGAAAGTTCCATCACGAGTATACTATTTTGTGTTGACTTAACTGTAAAGATGAGCTGTCCCAGTGACATATCAGAATTAATCTACTTGGATGTTGTATCAACTGTTCAGTGAGACAGATGGGAAACGATTGTTTTATTATATGAGGGCGCTCATGTATTGTAATACACCAATACAATATAACCACAATGCACAAAAACAACAACATATCACCGGTACATTACATTCAAAAGAAACACAAACAAGTGATAATTTAGAATGTCTTAATGTCGTCAAGCATGCTATTTATAGACGTATCGAGTCGTGGCACATATTCGCCGAATTTATTCGTATAGGTTATCAGTTTTGCAATTAAATGGAATCAGTATGTAGTTTCTATATACAGAACAAAATACATGTATTATATGTAAGACCTTGCACATGTGAGTATACTGTCATCGAACGTAAAAGCATTTTAAAAACTATTCTTTTGTTTAAAAGCCATCGAAGGCATTGCATGCCAAACGGTAGCTGCATTTGCCTATATTTTCTTACATGTATTAAATGTATGTAAATTCATGTGAAAACGTGTCTAACACAACAACAAGAAATGAACAAAGACGATGGTCTATTTTACGTACATAATTATTGTTGTTTAGGCGGTTTGGTTTTTGTGTTATCCGAGGTCGGTTTTTCAACTTACATCCAATCTACAGACGTATGTGTCGTTCAAAGACAGTTGTCATGGCAGTTAAGTATTGAAAATTAAGCACGTCAACTAGTTGCAGACAACATCAGCGAGTGACGAGAAAACAATCAGGTATCAGAAGATGACCATTAAGCAAATAATTGACGGCCAAGTAAACAATAATCAAAAGCAAATGAGAGTTTGACGATGGCTCGTCTCCCCGCATGAAACAAGTATTTACCAGAAGCAGCGGAGTTACTTGTCAAATGAAAAGGTCATTACAATTTAGCAGTACACAAAGACCGTCGACTCTCATTATATTTCAATTATGCGACTTCATTTAATAAAATAAACGTAATTCTTTGTATCACAGCACAAACGTATGCTATTCATTGCCGTTATTGATTTCTTAAAACTACATAACTGCCAACCTTTATTGTCTGCAACACTTATAGCTATTAGCTATTATGGCAAACGTTTCCTTGATGAGGCTTTTCTTTCAGACTGAATCCAATAAAAATGTCCGTATTTATATATCAACTTGATGAGAACAATGTTTTTTGCAAAGGCAATTACTGCTTTTCTAATTTGAAAACGTGATTTGAATTTATAATCACGAATTTTAATCCGTATCAAGTCGAGTCAATGTAAAAGTGTATAGGGCTGGCAGGATAAGATTTAATGAAATGCTTTTCATAGGATGGTACATTATAATATTTCCACATTGCCACCCGATCGCAGTTTTTTTGTGTGATTATAAATAACATTTTCTTTGCTGTATTGATGGAGTTGTCCCCAGTTCAGTTGGATAATTGAATGAACTGGTGAAACTTGCATTACGCTTCATCCACACATTTTAAGATTAAAGAAATATTAAATACCAAATTACATATTGTTTAATTTGCAATTCATTTTAACAACGTGAATATGAATATGAACTAATCAGCGGGAGAAATATATATGACCTTCTAGGCATACAGTCAAGCGAGTCAGTGGACCCCTTCTGTTTCATAAGTCGTACCGCCAATAAATAAATCTGATTCGCCAACAAAACAAATACTTGTATTGTGTAAAAAGTATGTGTTGTAAAATTGATGACTATAAAATGCAAAACACATCACAATTCACAATCTTGAGATATTTTGCTTTCAGTAAATATTTTGTTTTTTTACGAAAAAAAAGAAATGATTTAACCAGTAAAAAACACATTTTGTTTGAATGTCTTTGTGTCAGAAGTCGCCATATATTTTTTTCAGAAGATCGAGCATATCGATGATAACATATTCAGTCTAGAACCAGGCAGAGTCGTACAATAACGCTTTATGTTGAAAAATAACATAATTTGATTTTTCATGGGTTTAGTGTGATACAGAGTAGAGAAATTATTGCTTGTCACTCTGCCTTCTGTTGACATTTACAATATCTTATCATTTAGTATTTACCACTTCTTGAAAATACAACATCATAGGTATAATCCTCTGTTTGATAATACAAAACAGTTTCAGTCTTAGAATTATCAGATGAAGTATTTGTATTCTATACAAGCTGTAACATAATCAAATAATATCTAAATCCACATTCAAAAGAATTTTGACAATTCGCAGAAAACAAAACAAATAAGTGACAAATACACATGTACATTGTCAGACCCGGAAACGCAAACTGTATGGACCCCGTGGAATGCATGAAGTGATGTCAGATGATTCGAGTAGAATGAGCAAATCCTGCGCCATGTGCAGTTATCCTTTTATTATTCAAGTGTTTTTTGTCATCAATAAAGCAGTAGCATATTCAAGCTCATTATATCGGCCAAACAATTTGAATGTGAACGATACTTAACATTACTATTTCTTGGTAGGGATATTTGCAGATGTCAGGATTAACAAGATTACATCCCCGGTAGCAGTAGATCGTTTGCCGTAAGTAGCTATGACACTTCAGGCTTACACACAAATATTATGAAATAAAATGTTGTCTATTGAAACATTCGAAGCCAGATATATATATATATGTTTTTTTATACAACCATGCCAGTGTTAGTCGCGCAATTATCACTAACAACACAACTAATATTCTAGATAACGTCTTGTTGGCAACATTCTCGGACAATTCCATTTCCTGTGGATATTTTAATTATGTATACATTCATACTTCCTCTTGAATTTTACATTGGACCTTCAAATTTACTCAATACTTTTAAGAAATCCAAGATATTTAACATTCGCTACTTGTGAATGTATTTTAACTGCACGCACGATGTTTTTGGACGTTGCAACATATCTCAGCCGCTACTTTCTACACTTGTCTAGTCGTCTCGCGATGAAATTGCCCATATGGTGAAAAGGTGATTTGCAGCTGTTACTGGAGGCAACATGTAGTAAGGGCAAAGCAGTTGATATTGATATTTTCACTACGCTCTTTAAAGTATTATAATTTAGCTTCTCCGAAAATAACATCAAATAACTCTTCATTTTGCTGAATTTCAATTATCACACTACTTCTCTTTAAGAACACATATATCTTTGTTATATACTTCGAAATCCAGCATATTACACTCTATCTCCTACATCGTACTGTACACTGCTTTCGCTAAAATCACTGTTAAACCATATATCATTGGTGTCAAGAGTCGAAGTGTCATCATGGGTGTCTAATGTATTTATTCCAGAGCTGCCCTTCACACAACAAATCAGCTCACGAAACCCGCGTCGAAAATTTGCGTTCATAATTGAATAAACGACTGGTTTATAAATACAGATCGCATACAATGCCGTGTCCGCGAGGAATTCAAAAAGAGAAAACCACTTATTGTGATATAACGATTCATCGCTGATAGCAAGTGAGATTATGGTATCTATAACGGTTGGTAGAAGCAAAGCAGAATATAATCCGACTAGAATGAGCAGCAATTTTAGCGCCCTTTTGCAGGCAGCCATGATTTTTTCATTTGAAGAAAGCAAAACCTGGGCCTCCGTCGATCTGAGAAAAGCATTGATTTTCGTAAACGAAACACCGATAATTGCAAGTGGTAAAACATAGAAGAGAAATACACGCGATAAAGAAATTAACAGCAAACTCGATGACCTTGTATTCAGTTTACAAATGCGGGTTGACGTATTGGCGGCGCTGTCGTTTGATTGTCCATTCGGGGTGAAGTTATGCCACACATCGCTGAATACAGTCGATGGGATTGCAACAGATAATGAGAGCAATTGAATGATAACTGCTACTGTGAAGAATTTCTTCATGGTCCGAATGCTGTATTTCCTCATTGAACGGGATAATGTAAGAAACCTGTAAGTGGAAAAGAGTTATACGATTTTATTTAACATTTTCAACAAATTAAATACGTTCACGAAATGATTAATATTTCGTAAATATTTCCGATACTCACCTGTCTATAGTCATTGCTGTCAAAGTGATTATGGACACTGCTAACGCATAGTCTTTAGAAAACATGATCGTCTTGCATAATGCAGCACCAAAACTCCAATCCTGTGACCAAAAAGTATTTCACTTTAGGCTATTCAAAATATGAACATTTTTGTAATTCGGGATATTTATCATATTAATCACATTTACATGATTATATGTGTTTCACTCGCCAGATTTGACATGAGATCAGGCTTATCATTCAATTTGTGAGTCGTTGTAGTATCGATAGTTCATTAACATTGCTGTCAATAGAACTGAAATGAAGCATACAGTTTGTTTAGTTTTTCCTAGGGTATGACATAATAGCGCTAATACAATGTTCCATGAAGAAATAACTTACTTCATACACGTAGTTACCAATGATGTCAAACGGCATGGCCAGGAGCAGCATTATGATGTCACCAAGAGCAATTTGTGAAATGAACATATTGGTTACACTTCGCATGTGTTCATTTACTGCCACCACCGCTGTCACCAATACATTGCCTAAAACAAAAAAGAAGAGACCACACAACTCAGCAACGTCGTTCACTGTTACAAAATGTCATGGTGAGCCAAATTGTCCTAATGTGCACATAAGTACACCTCATAAATAACGTCAGATATTAAAATCAGTTATAATAGTTATTTATTATAAGGAGAGGTTATTGTCAATTGCTTTGAATTGGTTTGGAATGGACTATTATTTCAGGTCGACATACACGTGTTGCAATATAGGATTATATTCCCTCTCGTGAAAAACCATTGTTCCAAGTATATCAAATGTTTTTAAGTTTACCCTGATATTTTGTTATGTAACCAACCATCTTCCAAAAGTAATCCATACTAACTAATGTGTACTAACTAATGGTTTGGTTTGTAAAATTTTGCAAGTAGACTAGAGGTTGTTTAAGTAAATTGCCTGCATGCGATTTTAATTCAGAATTCTAAATCAAATTGCTACTTCTCTTTCCCAAGGAAAATAGAAAAAAAACAGTCTAGTCTGCAATCAGTTCAAATGTATTCCAATGTAAATAAATGCAGTATTGGATTTAAACCAACAGAAGTTATTGAAAGTAAAATTACCTAACGACGTTTAAGTACATGCAGTTAACCTTATACGTCGTGACTTTTCACAATCTTCTGCAGCTGTACACTTTTGTTAACTTACAGCTGAACCAATTGGGACAAGAAATACTTCTAATAAATACAAATAATGACATCAAAAACAGTACATCCTATAGAAGATAAATCAATATATGATTGATTGCTTGAGTTGTCTATGTCGATGGACATTAAACATGTTAATAGCATTTATTAATTAAAGTCATTGATTGATGTTTAGGGGCATGTATTGCTTTACAACTTTCCGTACTTTAAAGCTCACGACCGTAAGGTAGCTTTTATTGTGACGGATGCAAAGAATATATAGCAGAGTTCCGTGTACATAGCCTTTTTATTAACCGAGAAGTCAACATGTATGACAGAGGCGCGTTAAGTTACACTGAGTGTAACATTTCTTTTTACTATTGACCTTTGAGATGGCCTTATTCAATATATAATATTACATAAAACGTAAATTGCATTTGACCTCACTGTATTGACGCATGCGTTGTGGAATACGGAAAAGGAACTGAAGCATGCGCACTGCGTACACAATATGTAAATTACCTTTAACGAGGTTATGACGTAGACATTATTCATGAATATTACCTGTAAGTGTAATTATTAATAGAAAGCATTTATTATGAAACGCCGGAATTACGTACATTTGGTCTTGACCAGCACTCTGTCTATTGTGTTAATTGGAAGACTGTACGCGCTTTCTATCATGCTAAACTAGTCACCAAATTTAACAACTGTTTCGGCCTTCACACTGTAGTCTGAATGAGCATAGGCAAGCTTCAATATGTTTCGATTGTAAACAGCGCCATCAGCGGTTGTTCCCGGTTCCATGTATTAAGTATTACCCTACCAAGTATTACACTAACAAGTCGTGAATTTTAACATTTCCTTTCAAATGAACAGACACCTAACTAACTGATATACAACATGATATCTATGCGAATCACAATACGTTAGTGAAATATGAATAAATACATTTACCTATCATTATCAATTTGATACAGCGGGTGAACAAGATGCAAATTAATAATCAACACACACCATGTGTCGCTGTCATCTACACGATAGTATGTCTAGCTAATAGGTTGTGTGAATAATAAACTCCTTTATTACATGTTGCATTCAGTTGAATGGAGTTAATGACAGATGAACCTGGTCATTACTTTGGGGATTCATGGAGAGTTAGTCATGTGAACAAATGAATTGTGTGACCCTGAGGGTATCTGAAGCGTTAATGGTGGGGTCGCCAAAAAACGGTTGTGTGCATTATCGATCGACGAATCATTTAGGGCAAAGGTTTAAAGCATAATTCCGACTTGTTATTGCAAACGGATTGAAAATGTCCAAGAAATACGGATGGTTTTGTATTTTTGAATTACGAGTGTAGTACTCGCAAAATTGAAAGTAACACGGCAAAACTAAAATTGTTTTCTATGATAATTTCATTTGTTCAATGTTAACGGCGCTTTTTACATTAAAACACAGCGGCAGCTATCAGCTAATCTGGCATAGATATACTGTCTTTATGCATTTTACTCATAGCACTTGATTAGCAATTGATATGTATAAGTTGGATCAGTAATTAAAAAAATAATAAATCTCGATAATGCCTCAATTCTGTGACATTTATCCACTCCACAACAAATGAAAACTATTTAATTGAAGTCTAATCTGCTTTACTGAAATTGACGTGATTTATTTAATTAGTACATGACAAGTTCGATTCCGTGCCTTACTAATCATTGCTATCAAATTTGTGTAGAAAAATATCAAACATACTCCTAATACTAAAAGATTGCTTAAGCAATAAAGTGAAACCTAGGATGCTATGGCGAGATGATTTCAAACGTACAGCAGAGAAGCCCTAATGTAGCACGGTTAAGAACCAGATAAATTGAAT